GGCTTTGAAGAGCGGGAATGAGATAATGGCGAATGGGGGAATGAGAGGGAGGGGGGAGGCTGGTGAAAGGGCCCCTGTGGTTTCTTTCCCTGTTAAAATTTTTTTTCACAAAATAAGTTTCTCAATTAGTAAATAAATGTACTAGGAGAATTAAATAATTTTAAAGATGCAATTAATTAATGGATTTTATGTTTAACCATCTACAAGGCTGCCGATTGGAAAAAGCCTCTCACTGAAATATGAATCAATTCCCCAAATTGCGTAAGAAGTAAGGAAATGATCATATTTACGAAAAAAAAATGTTTATGATACTATCGGGCCCTTCTCGACCTCCCCCCTCTCATATGTATCCCTTGTGCACACGTCCATGCTGAAAGTATAACTATTAAATAAATCTTGATATGATACGACTATCAAGCCTACTGCGGTTTGCGGTATTGCATGAACAGCAAGACCCGCTGAAATGGAGCGAGCGACATAAAACCAGGAAATTCTATAAATGGACTGAACAATAACATATGAACATTTAACATTCAGATACTGCAAACATTTTATAAATTTGAAGGTAACAGGCCAAATATTTTACACAACTTAATCTCCAATTTTATAAACCCTCACCAAAATTATTTTGGGGGTCTTCAGACTTTCGAATATTAATACAAGTCTTTCAATATGAATTTATAACAAATTCTCTACAAAGGTTAACTTGATAAAGGGTGAACTTGAAAACAGATGAAGCAATCTAACTCTCAAAGAACATAATTGGAAACATGAAAATATGTGCTCGTTTCCAAAGCAAAATCTTTCATTTTTCGTTAAACACTTGGTGCGGTGCTTTTGCGTGTCTGGTAACATGCAAGTCATCTGATACATTCGGGTCATATATCAAAGGTTTAAAGCCACTGGTTAATTAATGAACGATGCGCATCTCCACGCTGCCCCACCGCCGCCGCTGCCGCACCTGGAGCGTGTCGATGAACTCGCGAACCCGTACTACTGGTTCAGAGTACGGCCCTGTGGGTGTGGGCGCGGGCGAGGGCGAGGGCGGAGCGGGGGCGGAGCGGGCGGGGCGGGGCTACTCCAATAGGGAGGCGGGGCCCCGCACGGCGGCAGTTCCCGGGACGCCCCGCGCCGCCCTGCACCGCCCCGCCCCGTCGCCGCCCGTGACCTCGCCCCCGAACGCGCCAAGCCGCCTGCGCCCTCCCCTCCCCTCCCCTCCCCTCCGCCTCCACAGCCGCCCGCAGCGCGGAGCCGAGCGGAGCGGAGCGGTTGTGATAGTGACATTGGACGATAAACGCTGACGTAATGATAAAAATGGAGGTCGCGAAGATAGTGGAAGTAAACGTTGAGTTTTGTTTGACTCTTACGAATTTAAAAGTAGATTTATTTCGTTTCTGACGTCCTTGAGGAAATAAAAACGATCATTATCATATTGAAATTCTTGTTCTATTGTGGGCATTTTTACAATTGGAATAACGTTTTGGGGTTGCAAAAATTATTCAGGATTAGACTCAGAGAGCAGATTTGGTGATCATGACCTTTTCAAAAATGTTCGCAAAATAAGTGCTATTGTATATTATTTTTATCATCATTGTTATTAATTTACTGTTTATTATCACTGATGATAGAAGTTCCTAGTGGTGATGCAGATGGGAAAGCGAATGGACCTGCAGAGGTGGTGGCCACAGCGACAGGGTGAGCGCTGCCGGCAACATTCAGCGCGCCCCTCCCGGGCTCCTTCGTCGTGAATTGGAACCGTGCTCGTGTCACTCGTGACGTACGCAGCGCCGGCGCGCGCCCGTTTCAACACACCATAAACAACGCACGCGCGACTGGCGTGCGCCCGTCCAATTATGCGACCAATTAAGGGCCAAGTCTGCTTTCGGCTGTCGAACAACGGTGACACGCAGTCGCCAAGGACGCATAATATTGAAATTTTAACACACGCATGCTTCCTAGTGTCGCGACAGCTCCTTACGTGCTTGCGGTTGTGGGCACTGTCCTCTGACATTTATCATCCTAACCTTATTTCGGCTTATCCAACACGCGACGATATTGATTTTCCTACTCCAGATAATTATGACGTCGAAAGCACGCCACTGCGCCTCTTCTCTGATTAGATACAGACGAAACTTACAAAATATGGATGTAAACATTAATAACATAATATTAGTGCACCCGCAGAAACCACCGTTTCCCGTTCACATCTCAAATGCTAGCGATGCAGAATGCGCGCGTGCAACCACCTGACACCATAAGGTGAAGTGTTTCATACATAAAAACATTGGTGCATGCATACTTACTTTCCAATAATCTCGCAAAGTTCGTAGACGTCGTCGAAGAGCACCTCGTCGTCAGCCATCTTCGCCTGGAGCCGGTACGCGAATGTTTGGGATAGCTTCGCTGTCACTCGTGCACTTGTCACTCACTGCCCATGCACGCCAATCACATGAACCGGAACGCGTAAGCGCGCATCACTCACTCGCAGGCCCAGAGCCGCTCCGAGCCGGTGGCCCGTCGGAGGGGGATAGGGGCGTGTCTGCCCGCTCTACGACACCCCTGCCCCTGCCTGCGTACGCTAACTCGCCCAAGCGCAACCAACCAGCCGGGTCAGGCTGGAAACATGGCCGAGACGCGCACTCGGAGGCACACGCACAGCTGCTGCGGTGCACCGCGATTGATTCACAGCAAGCACTGGCCACTCTCTGGCGAGTGACACAAGCACGCGAAACTGCGGGGGGAAAACGACGCTTTCGACGAAGACACGACGCCTACAGCGAAAACACAAAACACAACAAAAAAAGTAAATAAAAATATCAGCACACACTCACACAAAAAAGCGACTGAAACACGAACGAAAGCGAAAGCTCAACGAATTCCCCACAACTCGCCGGTGTAACACAACGGGTCCGCTAGACACGAACACGCTTGCGCACGGTGCAAGACGCCGCACTGAAATGGGCACTTCGCTCGCCTCCCGACAGATGGAGCGCGCGAGCTCTCGGCAGCTCGAAAGCGCTCGAAGGTCAGGAATACGTAGTACAACTGAGCGTCCATTTTCTCTCAAAGACAAACCTGTTCGTGTTGCTACTGCCTTCATGAGGAGGGAGTTTTAAACGCTATTTACAGCCGATTGATTATACAGTTGATGTAATGAATATGCAACATAAATATGAATAATTATTGAAAATTACTTTTTTCCTCTCTTTCTTCCAATATCTACCTATTATCAATGTGCAATGAGGCATTTATATACAAAATGTACCAGAATTATCCTTTTTTTTGTAAAAAAAAATCTGATTACAAAATTTAAAAAATATACTGTTCTTAATCACATAATTGTTCTTTTTTTATACTAATTAAAATAATGTCTAATAACCTTAATATATAACTGAATGTATTAATGAATGCTGATTTCAAATTAACATTTATCAATTTTCAAGATTTCAATGAAACAAAATTTTTCCTAATATTTTTAACTAATATTCTTCCCAAAACAATTCTTCAGTATTCAGGAAATTCAGGAGATTTTAATATTATTATCGAAGTTCCTTCCTCTGTACCTAGCAGTTCTTACATTTCTCTAAATTTATTCCTCTATCATTTATTATATTCTGTAAAGTAAAAAACACTATTCATGTAATCTGAAAAATTAAATAAAAATTATACATTCAAAATGTGTTACTATTAATGAAATTAAAGAAATAAAGAGTTAAAGTGCTTTTAAAGAAGCGCACGCACAGTAAGAACAAAAAACAAATTTTTAAAAAATCACATCAACAATTTATGAATTAATTCTTCAACTATGTAAACGTACATTTGGGATTTAAAATAAATCATAATTGTTTTTATTAAATATCAACGCGATTTTTCGAAATACAATAATAACAACAGCAAACAAACAAACTCGTATTGTCAACCCCTGAGAACGCAAACGTGAATAAAACGTGTTCTTCATTGAAGTAAGTTACTTCCTCTAACACATTGTGCAGTCAGAATCCATTTGTTGTGCATCTTTTGATAGGAAAATCTGTCTCTTTGTTTGTCTGCCCGCCTAGCCGTCAGGGAAATTTTTGACAGAAAAACTCTTATTATCGGTTCCTCATAACGATTAAGTGAATAAATCCCGTTCCTAAATGTAGTAAATTGCTTCTTCTATAATAATATGGTGAAGCCAGAATCCATGAATTGTGGACCCATGATACTGAAAAATCGATTGACGGCAAAACGTCTGTCCGTCGGGCCGTCCAACAGCCTGTGGTCAACGCTAGCTCCTAAACCGTTCAGCCGATGTTTTCCAAAATTAATACTCCCCAATCCTGAACGAACTCGAGGCTTTGGGAGTTTCAAAAATATATTTTGTGTTTTTAGGGTACTTTACATTAGACTCAAATACATTTTCAAAAATGGTACCAAGTTTTTTGATGAAACTTCGTCTTTAGGTAGCGTAAAGGATGCAAAAGAGAACGGTGTATCTCACGTTCATAAAATCCCACAATTTTCGAAATTACCAAAAGTACAACTTTCTTTGGCGCCTTCCTAAAACTATAATGTTGATAATAGAGATTTTTCCTTCGTGATATCCATTTCTTAAAGACAGATCGTAAAATAATGTCAAGTTCAATTTTTCGAAAACATGAGTCGTTTTCTTGTAATTTTGTGTAAAATATAGGGAATTTTAAAACATTTTTTTGCTCAAAGTATGTATCAAAGGACGGTAAAATATATAGAAATAGTCCCATTTTCGGCTAACTCTCCGAATTTCGAAAATTGCATAAATTTAACATTTCAAAACTACAAAATTGAAGGTAACGATTTTTCACTTCGACGTGGTCAATTGTAAAAAATCTGCTCTTTAAAAAAGGATATGGATAAATTTTTGAAAAACTTGTAGATTTCGGGTAATTTGTGGCTCAGATTTGTGAATTACCTAACAAAAATTCCCCAAAACCGCTCCAAATTTTTTCTTGTAACTTTTTCCACTGATAGAAGAATGGGCTTCAGAGAAGGTGTGGATTTCTTTTTCGTCGAACTCTCTGAAGTTTAAAAACTGCAAATTGAGAAGCGAGAAGGTATGAGATGTTGGTGCACCACTAGTTTTCAGATCAAATGAAAAAGATATTTCGAAATAAATTTGCGTACAATGTTTCGAAAATTTGACTGATTTCCGCGTGATATTGCATGAAATATAGGATTTTTTTGTTTTTTTAAATTTTTTTTTGAAAACTGCACCAAATTTCTTCTTTAAAATTTTCACCTTGCATGGACGATACAAAAGTGTCCTATTTCCGTCAAACACTTCATTTCCGAAAGTTTCAAAATTTTAACATTTCAGAATTACAAAAGAGATTGAAGATATAGTTTTTTGGGATTAAACAAAATTTCCAAAAATAATCATGTACATTTTTTAAAAAAATTTGGGTTTTACGTAATTTCTACTCGCAATTAACGAAATATACAGCTGTCTCACCAACAAGTTCGCGAGACAATTTCTGGGAGAACAGGAATGGATCAAAAGGATACGTAAAGTAATTCATGTTATTTTAATTATATGTTGCTACTGAAAGTCCCAATGTTAAATCGATTTTACTCAATTCTACAATTTATATTCTCAATGCATTGATATATTTTTCTTCATACAATTTGCCAACATTAATTGAAAGTAGCCCAATTACATTTTCTCTCTTAAATATACAATTTAAATGAAATATGAAAGAAAAATTTATACTTGTAGTGTGACAAAATGGCACAGACTTTCCCGTACTAGTTTTCCATTTCGTTTGGTCTCGGCTAGCTATTCTAACTTGCCATATACTCTTACCTGCTGCAATCTATCCCCGCCCAAAGTACATTTTTAAAAAATCTTAATTTTTCGGTTTCCTAATAGAAGAACGGAAATATTATTTAAAATATATTAAAAACAGTAATATCTCGTCCTAAATGGCAATTTTCTCTCAAAAAGTTGGAGAGGTTTTTAATAAAACGGTGCTTGAGCGCTACATAAATTCGAAATTTAAAGTACTTTTTCACAGAAAATTTTTGAGTTTTCGAAAAACCTTAATTTTAAGTAATTTAAAGCACTTTAACTCACAAATACAATAGTGATTGCAAATTGCTGGAAAAGTGAATATTAACGGCGTGAGAGATGTTTAAAAAAAATAAATTTGTGTAATTTTCGAAACAAAATACCCCGAAATAACTTAACGTCACATTAAAGAGTACAATTTGCACTATCCATTCGAAAAGTTTGAAGAAAAAGTTGGGAGCCGTTTTTGAGAAAATAGTATTTGAGTGTGTCTGAGTTTTGATTTTTTTTTTAGAAAATGTCATTTGAGCATTTCTGATAATGATGTTGAGGTTGTTTTGAAAACGGTTCTTGAAAACGGTTGAGTTTTCGAGAAACTTTAAATGACAAATTTAAAGCTTGGGTACTCATAAATATAAGAACGTAAACAAATTGTAGCTAATGTAAATATTAAGCACGTGAGAAATAATTCAAACAAATTTACATTTTTGTAATTTTTTGATAAAACAAAGGAACTGAGCAACATACCGTCAATGTTATCTTGTAGAGTGCATTTAACACAATCTTTGCCAAAAATTCGAGGGGAAATTTGGAGCCGTTTTCGAGAAAGTCTTGGTTTAGTAATTGTTTTAATTGCACAGATTCTTCGCAATATTGTGAGAAAAGTAATAAAATGTTCAAATAAATGTAATTACTTTAATGAAAGAACTCACTATGGAAACAATTTGTTTTTCAAGGAAAAATCTCTATCTTTAATTTTTTGTTGTAGGACGACCCGGAAAAAGTTCAAACTTTTCCAAGTTTCGAAAATTCAGAGCTAACTGTGAAAATCGGACATATGCCATCTTTATAAGTGTATTTTACTATATTCTTACGAGAAATTTAAAGAAGAAAGTTGGAGCAATTTTTAGAAAATTGTGAAAATGTCCCAAGGACTTCGTGTAAAGTACCCTCAAAAACTAATGAATGGTTTTCAAAATCGCAGAGCTTCAACTCAATCGACATGGACACAGTTCTTCAATGGTTCTTCGAAGGCGCATGGTTTAGGCGCAAGTGTTGTTCACATACACCAGACACGCAGACGGTCGGTCGGACGGACGGACAGACAGACGGACGGACGTTTTAAAAAACACTTTTTTCGGTAACTGGTTACCCTAAAACGTGTATTTCTGTTGAAATCTCGAAATCGAATTTCCGCAAAATTACATTACTTTCCCTATACTACCTATATTATAGGTACATACGTACGTATACGGGAAAGTAAAAATTGAACTGATAATTTTGTCATCATTATTTAGTTAGTTACTTTTAGTAATATTTTATTTCGCGTAAACGAAAATCTCATTTGTCGATAACGAATGTAATACACTTGAATAAATAATATCGTAGACAGCCATTAGTAAACGCATTTGCTTTTAGAAGCATTGTATTCTAAAATTGAGATGAAATGTTCAAATAAAAAAAAATAATTTCGTCTGATGGCGTACAAGTGTTCTTAACCATAGATTACAAAGGCGTTGTCTGTCAGACGACGCAACTAGTGCCGAAAGTTAGCCCACCCCCTTCCGCAAGCTCTGTGGAGCTTCATTGTATGACTAGCCGGTGAAATACACGTATCGTTGTGCCTAAGCTTATTTCTGATGTACACCATTTTAACACGTCCAAGAGACTACGTCTAGTTACGTCAGTGATATTTTTAGGACTTTTTACGCTAATATAGTAAATAATAAATACAAAATTCTTCTCATTAAGCATTTAAGTTTTGTTATGAACATGAGAAATCATAACGGGACGATGGCGATCATAATGTAACGTATTAGCCAGCGTGCCTCATGGCATCTATTTGGGGACGCTTGGAAGAGGATTAGCCTAGCCACAGAAAGTAGGGTTTTTCCGTAAAGGGAAGAACGCGGAAACGGGAGACACAAG